TCAAGAAATGAGTTTTTTTTTTTTAGAAATTTTTATTCGAATCATTTTCGTTTTTCAGCGAAAAAAAGTAGTGAGTTGGGTTGTAAGTCTCTATGGTCCTAATTCATAAATATACAGAAAAAAGTTTAACGCGGGAATTTTTTTTTCGAAAAAAATTTTTTTTTTCAAAAAAAATCGATCGACTATGCAGATTGTTTCGTTTTGGGTGGGGTGGGGTGGGGGTGGGTTGTTTCAAAAGACCGGTAATCAACTGGGAAATGAATGGGGATGGGGAGAAGAAGAAAATGCGCTCCATTGATAAATTCTCAATGGAGCGCGATTGAAAATAAAAAAAAAATAAAAATGAAGGGGAACCCGTTTTGCAACACAGAAAAAGTAACACAATTAAGGGGAAATCGGGATGATTTAATAATTAATGGGATGATGTTCACTGGAACTATGGCATGACGAAACGACACCACTATCATTGGTTTCCAATAAAAAATGCTCTTCAATTGGAGAAAAAACATAAAGAGGGACGGTACGGAAGAGGGCGTCCCGTGCGTCGAACCGTCCCATTGTCACGAGAATTTTGCAGAGATTTCCGACACTGGCTTGCTCCGGATGGTGGATCGCCCACTCGTTGAGCAATTGGTCGGTACGCGAGAGGGATTGACCGGTTGAGTCGACCTGCAAGAAATTATGGTTTTTGGGCGATTTTGAATGGATTTGAGTGTAGAGATGGGTGGGACGTTCCGGGAATCCGAGTTTTTTCGGAGAAAATGGTGATCAGGATTACCCGAAAAATAATTTTCGGAATAAAAAAATTTCGACCGGAACATCACACAAAAAACAGAATTTGGAAGAATTCTCAAGATTTTGAAAAATATTCTGAACTTTAAAGGAAAAAAATCGGAATTTCCAGAATGCCGGAATTCCGAAGTTTCGAGAAACTGAATATTCTGAGATCCTGGTTTCCCGAAAACTGAAACTTCAGAATATCCCGAGATTCTGAAATTCCGAAAATTGGAAAATCGGAGTATTCTGAAAATTCTTATGCTCCGAAAATTGAAAAACCCGGAGTGTACTGAACATTCCGAAATTCTCAAAGTTCCGAAAATTGAAAATTCGAAAGATTCCGAGATTCCAAATTTCCAAAACTCCGAGAATCCAAAACCGGAATATTCCGATTTTCGAAAATTCCGAAAATTTGAAAATCGGAGTTTTAGGATTTTCCAAAATTCCGAACCTCCCGGAATCCTGAAATTCCGAAAACTGAAAAAAAATTCGGCATATTCTGAGATTCCGGAAGTTCCAAAATTCAGAGACCAGATTATTCCAAAAGTTCCGAAAATCCCGAGATTTGAAAAACCGGAATATTCCAAAATCCCAATATTCCGATATTCCGAAAATTGAAAATTCGGAATTTTACGAAATCCCCAAAATCTGAAAACAAAAAAGCCAGAATCTTCTAAAATTCTGGAAGTTCTTAAATATAAAAAATCAGAATATTCTGAAGGTTCCCGCGCTGCGGAAATTGAAAAACCGGAACGTGTGTGTAAGTCCGAGATTCGAAAACCAGAATATTCTGGAATCCTAAAATTCCGGAAGCTAAAAAAGTGGAATATTCCGAGATTTCAAATTTATGAAAATTCGAAAAAAAACGGAACATTCTGAAAATTCCGAAATTCTTAAAGTTCCGAAAATTAAAAATTCAAAGGGTTTCGAAAATTTGAAAAACCAGAAAACTTCAAAATACGCAATTCCGAAAATTGAATACTCGGAATTTTCAAAAATTCTAAATTTTTGAAATTTGAAAATTTGGAATATTCCGGAATCTCAGTTTTCCGAAGATTTGAAAAAAAAACGGAAAATCCTGTTCCAAAAAAGTTATTCCCCACCCCATCCGATCCTCTCCTAACTTACATCCGGCACCTGATCAGTCAAGTGAAGCTTGACCGCCAGAATCGACCAGTCATTTCCCATTGGATGTTGTGGATCCATAAGACACGCGAGTTCACATCGACTCGCCATTTGAAGATCCGCCACGCCCACATCAATTCCAAGTGTCAAGTGACGAGCGACGTCTCGAGACCCAAAACAGACGACATCTGTGAATAGTTCCTCTTCACCACCATGAGCTTTGACGGATAACGATTCATTTTGTTGCATTTCCATCATGGCTTCTGGAGGGAATACGGCTGGAGCATCACGATGCTCTTTCAGATGTTTCGGGCTCAGGAAATGCCTCTCCAAACTGATTCCAGGACCGACTTCCGCTGCAGTTTGTTCGACTAAATTGATGAGGTCCTCCATGAAATAGAACATTGAAGTGGCTGTGTCTGATGGCCCTCGAGCACGGATTTCAACGGCATCTCCCCACATTCGAATGACGGCTTCACGGTCTTGAGAGACTAGTTTTGAGCACTCGGACCATTGGTAAAGTTGGGTGTCTTTGGCGGGCTGGAAATTGAAATTTTATTGTATTTTCGGAAAAAAGACGGTTTCTGATAAGATTTTATAGGTCAGATTCCAATTTTTCGGCAGTGCGAAAAACAAATTTCACGATTCCCGGAAAAAAAATTTTCGGAACTTTTTCCGAATTATTTTTTCGGAAAAAATTGAAGGCGGGAAATTTTCCGGATCAGTTTTTTGGGAAAGTTTCGGAAAAACTTTTGGAAAATCGGGAAAATTCTCATCGAAACCCTACTGATGAGGTGGTACTTCTGAAATTTTTTCCGGAAAAGTTTTCGGGAAACGAAATTCCGAATTTTTCGAAAAAATATTTTAAAAAAATCAGAAATTCCGACCTTCCGGGTTTCCCGACAATTTTCGGAAAATATTCCAAACTGAACATTTCCGGGGAAATTGTAGTCTGGAAATTTTGTGAAAAATGGTCCGATCAGAGATTTTTTTTCGGAAAATCGATAATTCATTGGAGTCGTAGTGTGGTTTCTCTCGGAATCGGAAAACGTAAATTCCGATGTTCCGGGTTTCCCGACTTTTTTCGGGAAAATTGAAGCACAGTGAATTTTTTTGTACGTATTTTCAAAAGGTTTAATTCGCGGGCTTTGTCTTACTGTAGGGTCGCATGCTAACTGCGTGGCGACTCAGCGATACGTAGGCATTTTTCTCATTTTGTTGAAAAATTAGAAAATCAGGGCCTAAGCTTTTTTTGAATCAAATTGAATAGAAATTTTTCTTGGCATCGTGTTGAATATAATATTGATAGAAATTGATCGAAAGTTATTACTGAAAAGTGCTCTTGGAACATGGTGCGTGCTCCTTCGGCTTAAGCGCGGCTTACTGTCAGATTTTAAAGACGCAACATGAAATTTGTAAAAGTCCGTGTGAGATGGAGCGTAGAAACCGAGAAAAAAATTGTTCGTTCGAAAAAATTTACCGTGACGAATTTTTTCGAAAATTGTATTTCGGTAAAAAATTGGAGTTTCATTTTCCGAAAATATTTTTTTCCTAGTAATCCTGACAACTTGACCTAACTTCACTACACCTACCTGATAATCATTGATACTCCTCCTCAACGCCACCTGAATCCTTGGGAAAGTACTATGAAGACTCCTCTCCATTCCTCTCATCGGAAGGATTCTCACTCCTCCATATACCGTATCCCTTTCCTTCTCCTTCAATGAATACGGTCTCCAAATAGAGTCAGGAGCCTCTGTCTGAATGAAAACTGGGAATTCGTGAGCACCGGTACGAGCGTCTGGAGCACAGAGTTGAAGGACCTCAAGGATTGTCATTAGATCCGATTGCTCAGGGATTTCTGGGAAGATTTTAGCGAGGGAACTGGTATGATAAGAGCCGTTTGGACTGGCTTTCGAGAGAAATTCTGCGGAAAGAAGTTGACCGAGGATGTGGGTCCCGAACCATTCAGCGTTTAGGACTACGTAGTCAGCGTCGGAGAGGTCGTTACGGAGGTAGACGATCTGGAAGATAGGGAAGGTTTTTGAGAGGATCAGGGCTTGATCGGAAAAAAAAAGTTCCGGAAAAATGTTTTCCGGAACTTTTTCCGATTTTTTACCGGAAAAATTTCCGGCAAAATGCAAATTTCCCAGAAGATATTGTCCCGGAAAATTGTTCAGAAAGCGAATTTCGGGGATTTTTTAAAGGAAATTTTTTGTTCGGAAAACGAATTTTTCCGATTATTTTTCACGGAAAATTTTTGTGCGCGAACCGAAATTTCCGGAATTTTTCTCCCGGAAAATTTTGAAATTTTTTCACGGATTTCTTCCACAAAAATTGATCTGAAAACGAACTTTCCGGGATTTTTTTCACGAAAAATTTTTGTTCTGGAAAAGAATTTCCCGGAACTTGTTCCGGAATTTTTCATCACTGTGAATTGTAGGGAAAGCGAATTTCCCGGAACTTTTTCCGATTTTTTACCGGAAACAAACCATCCGGAAAATTTTTTTTTCGAAAATTTTTTCCGAACAATTTTGCTCCCAACCAAGAAATCTCATGCTCCTTTAAGGCTCATTCCTTACCTCCCCAATCAACTGCAACTGCTGCACAATCTGCCTACAATGAGCGTCCCCAGTCAACGGATTAATCTCATTCCGCACCAATTGAATAAAGTCTGGCCACGAGATCACCGGGAAGTTGGCATGTTTCTTTCGCACCAAATTCAGATGCGACACTACCGTATCCAGAATAGCTAACGGCTTCAAAAGTTTCGCCAGAATATTCGTTCGACACTTTGCCAACTCCATTTTCAACGTCTTCATTCCGATGCACGATGGATTAGTGGCATCCAGGAGGATCGGGCGGTGATCCATATCGAAATGGGTCTCGAAGCGAAGTCGGACGGTTTTGAGGAGCGCGTCAATGTCGGATGAAGTGTACTCTCCGTCGGAATTTTTGTGAGGGAATAGGGAGGCGGTGGCATGGGTTCCCACGATAAGGACCTTGGAGCGACGGGAGGAGAATCCGCAGTGGCCTGGAAACAGTTTTATGGTATATGGTTCATCAGAATCTCGGCTCAGAAAAAAGAAAAAAAGATTTGACCTCAAGGGGGGTTGAACCCGCGATGCCAATTTATAAGACTGCAGCGCTATCCGCTAGGCCGTGGAGGCGCGAAGGGGTATGTGGTGAGAGAGCGTAGACAATGAAGCTGCCTATCCCGCGGCCGAGGGGGCAACGTAAGAAAAGGAGGAAGGTGCCGGCCATGTCCCCGCGGCCTAGCGGTTAGCGCAGTTGTACTCCAATCTAGCATCGCGGGTTCAAACCCCACCAAGGCCAAATTTTTTTGTTTTTTTCCCAACTCACCAATCGGCTCAAACGGCGTGACCCTCCCCTTCAAAAAGTTCATCCAATACAAAATCTGCTTGTACTGAACCTCTGGCGGATCACTTGCCCGATACAAAACCAGGTGGATACAGTCAGCGTTGCCCACAAAATGGTCGTAGCAAGTGTGCATTGGCTCATACCCTCCGAACTCCCACACCGAGAACTCTCCACACCCATTAATGTTCACACTTTGCACATCGATTCCACGTGTGTATTGCGAGTGCGGTGGAGCGTACTTGGTGGACGTTGATGAGAGTTCAAAAGAGGAATTGTTGTTGGATTCGCTGACGAATGAGCCGTTTGTCGAGTGGATTCCATCGTCTTTCATCGAGTTGGACGGGCTGTAGTGGTCACTGATCCGTCGGGAGACTGATTCGAGGAAGGAGGAGATTCCACGGGAGGAATGAAGGGTCTGGACGAGACGGGTTTTTCCGGATAGAGAGTGTCCGAGGAGTTTCAGTTTGATACGGCGAAGTGAGGTGTCCAATGGGTAGAGTTGGGAGATGTACTCTTCACGGGTTTCTTGCTGAAAATTTTGGGAATTATTGGACGGGGGTTGGACTGATTTTTAAAGGGGAAACTGTCTTTTGAATGGAGGGCTTCGTGACATGGTTTGAAATGTTCGAATTTTCAGATTCGATTGAAATTGATTTTCTGGAAAATTAGAACAAACAAAATTTCAAAATTTTTGGAAAAAAAATTTTTTTCAAAAAAAAAATTTCAAATTTTTTTGTGTTCTATTTTCTCTGAAAGTCGATCAATATTTCTGTTTTTTTGCCATACTTGTAAAATTTCGGCCCGAGACGACGATTTCCAAGGCCTGGGCACGGCCCGGAGGCCCGGATTCAAAAAATTGAGAGAATACTACATTTTTTAAATGGAAATTCATCAAAATAGTGTAAAATGCTTCCAAAAGTACCATTTTCATGCTCACTATAACCCTGGAGCACAAAATTTGGGGATATGTTTTTGATTTTTCCAAATTCGGGATGGATATCCGGGCAAAGCGGGCGTTCGGGCCGAGCCGGGCTTTGGAAATTTGTGGGAAAGTCCAGTATGGGTTTTGCAACAAAAAACTGCCCAAATGCTGCCCAATCACAGACCACCGACCTCCGCACGTCTGAGTTGCCAGCTCCAAAATGAGCCAAGAAGGGCTACATGAAGTGGAGCTCCCATAAGAACGGGCAAGCAGCTCATAACTGCACAGTCCCGACTTCCGGACCGGACCAAGCTGCCCCAAGACCCCCCCGCATTTTCCACAAATTTCAGTACCCCATCTTCCTCCTACTCACCGACTTAACCATCTTCAACAAGGAATGAGCCTCCAACCTCTCCGCTGCCACAGCCACCAGCTCTGCCGTCAAACCATCGTCACCTCTCAAAGTGACATCAGCACGAGCCAGCAAAAGAATCCGAATCACATCCACGTGTCCATAATGAGCTGCCAAATGGAGAGCAGTCTTCTTGTTCTCGTTGACTGCGTCCACTTGAACAGCACAATGACACAAGGTCTGGATGATTGGAAGGAATCCGTTCTTTGCGGCCACGTGGAGAGCCGTATCGCCGTGCTGGAATTAGAGATTGGTTAGGGTGTCTGTCCATGCCCCTGGGTATTCCGATAACGGTAAATTTTCTTTGTACGCACAATTTTTTTCTCGGTTTCTACGCTCCATCTCACACGGACTTTTACAAGTTTTATATTGCGCCTTTAAATTCTGACAGTAAGCCGCGCTTAAGCCGAAGGAGCGCGCACCATGATTCCAGAGCACTTTTCAGTAATAACTTCAATCAAATTCTGTCAATAATATATTCAACATGATGCGAAGAAACAGTTTCTATTCAATTTGATTCAAAAAAGCTTAGGCCATGGTTTTTAATTTTTCAACAAAATGAGAAAAATGCCTACGTATCGCTGAGTCGCCACGCAGTTAGCATGCGACCCTACAGTAAGACAGAGCCCGCGAATGAAACCTTCTGAAAACACGTACGAAAAATTTCACGGTGTCCGATTAGGGCTGTGCGAAAAAAACCTGAACAAAATTGAAACAAAATTTTTCAGAGCGAAAAAAATCGAAAATTTTTTTTCGGGATTTTTCGATTTTTTTTCGATTTTTTTCGATTTTTTTTTCGATTTTTTTCGAATTTTTCGGTTTTTTTTTCAGGAAAAATGGATAAAAAGGCGGTAAAAACATGAAAATATACAACTAAAAAATCGTTTTTCCGTAATTTTTTTTCGGCGAAAAACAGTGTTTCGGTTCCGAATGGCGAAAAAATTGAAAAAACCGAAAAAAAACAAAATTTTCAAATTTTTTCCGACCAAAATTTTCGAAAAAAAAAATTTTTTTTCGATTTTTTTTCGAAAAAAAATTTTTCACACAGCCCTAATCCCGATGTCCCCAAGTTGCATGTCCGGATGTCCAAGCTCCCAACAGAAAGTTCTAGAACGGTCCCCAAACTCACATTATCAGCATGATTGATATCACATCCGGTGGTGATCAAACTCTGTGCAATATCCACGTTCTCATGCTCCAGTGCCACAATCAAAGCGGTCTTTCCATCCTGATCGACTGCATCCACCGGGGAGTTGGCCTCCAACAGAGAGTTGACACATTCCACGTGTCCTCGGGCAGATGCCACGTGGAGCGGGGTTTCTTCGCGCTGAAAAATTGGAGATATTGTTTTTTTTCTTCCTGACCCTTTCCACAGTCCTTTTAGAGCCCCAGGCCCCTTTTCAGAGCAGCTTCGGAGCCTAGCGGTCCTGTGCTCCTGCTAGATCCCCAGGCACCCCAAAAAAGATTTTCAGATTTTCCCTTTCCATCCATTTTTCCAGTCAGGTAAACAACTGACTGGATTATTTCGGATTATCACGCGGACACCTCACCAAACGGATAATCCCTTTTCAAATAAATCCCCTTTTTCTATGAACAATTTGTATTGAATTCGGATTTCTATGGGGTGAAAAGGGAGAAGAATAGTAATGATAAGTGCACGGATTACTGAGTTGAGCTGATCTTAGAAAATGGGTTACAGTAGGTACATGCGAGACATTATTGTAGAGGCTAAGACTGGCTGTAGTACAACTGAAACCACGGCTTGTCATTTTGAAGCGCTATAACTCAATTGCGAGTGGATATATTAAAAAGTTGTCAACTAAAAAATTGTTCAAAATTTAAATTTACATAAATTTGTAGTTAAACACTTTTTCATAGCTCTAACCGTAACCGAGATACAATGCTTTGAAGTCAATGAGAGACCCAGACAGCTAGACGCTCTGTGTTCTCTGCGTCTCTAGCAGCGCTATATCTCCGCTGTCGTTAGAGATATCAAAAAGTTGTCAACTAGAAAGTTGTTCAAAATTTAATTTCACACAAGTTTGTAGTTGATCACTTTTTGCTATCTCCATTCCCAACTGAGATATACCTCTTCAAACCGATGCCGAGACGCAGACAAGCCAGACTACCTGACTTCTCTGTGTCTCTACACCCTTCGCACTCAAACACCCAAAATCCCACAAAACCGTCTCAGTACCAACAAACTGACACCCAAATACTCAAAAATTCAGTGCAAAACCGCTCAAGCCCCGTTCCACCTCACCGCACACTCGCACAAGTCCGGATGCGTATCGGAAATGTCGTTCAACAGCTGAATGAACGCCGTCGTCGTGGAGAAGGACGAATAGGCCGGCACACTGCCCAGTTTCGAGTACCGATCCTGTCCCGGGTACACGAAATCGGCGGCCCGTGGGCGGGGGCTCTCGAAGAGGTAACTGGCCGATGGATTGGTGATAGGATCGGTCAGGTAGGAGCCAAGGACGGAGCCATTTACGATTACAATAGTGTTATCTGTATCTGACAGGTTTTCCTCTTCTTCATCTTCTTCTGGATCCTCTGGATCAATATACTTGTGATCGTCGTCAAAACTGGACGGATCCGTTTGTGTTAGCTGAGACAGATTCAACTTCCTCATCTCCAGCCTCTTCAGGTACTCCTCCTCTCTTCTCGGCGTCAAATTCTTCCGTCTCTCATCATGAATCTCCAGCTTTCGGGCTGTTGTCACTATCTGGATTGGTGGATCATCCTCATCCGAATCCTCTTCTTCTGAATCCGATGGGAACCTGTCCTTGTCGGCGACAAAGTCCCTTAGCTGCTCCTCAGTGGTTTTCTGGTTACGGGCACTTTCTCTGGCACTCATCTCACGGTACATAGATATGTGTTAGTGGTCCTAGAATTATGGGAAGTTAGGGATGGAGAGGGATAACGGACGACGGAGAGAGCGGAGAGAAAAAAGCGAAGCTTCAAAGCGCTATACCTCGGTTACGGTTAGAGCTATCAAAAAGTTATCAACTACAAACTTGTTTAACTTTTAATTTTGCACAAATTTGTAGTTGACAACGTTTTTCTAACTCTAACCGTAATCGAGATATAGCGCTTGGAAGTCACGACTTATAGGAAACAGATCAAAGGTAGAGGAGGGATGACTGGATTCAAAGAAAATAACCAGATTAAGCAATAGATAATAGAGAAGAGAAAAACACAAAGTTTGTTATACTGAACAGTATGAAAATACCCGAAATTAGCTGAAAATGGTTTTGTTTCAGAAGTATTTGGGGCAAAAAAGAAGGTCGGAATCTAAATATCACCATAAATCCTGTGGCAGAGTAGTGTATGTTCAGAGCACCATATCTCGGATGTCTTCAAAGCTATCAAAAAGTTGTCAACTAGAGAAATATTGAAAAAAACATTTTGAATATTTTACTAGTTGAACATTTTTTGATAGCTTTAAAGGC